AAAAAAAAAAAAAAAACATTTAACATAAAATGAAATGTTTTGTCATTAGAGGATAATAATAACACAATGACAAAAGCTGATAATTACATATTACAAGCCCTGAAGAAGAATTGCTACAAGAAAAATGAAAAACAATTAATGACTGCTACACAATATATGTTCTTGTATGGTGATTTTAATTTTCAGGGAAACAAACAAGAGAAATCTTGAAAAATCTGTTCGGCGACAATCGCGCAAGCAAATAGTCCCGCACCAACGAGTGCTGGCCTTGCTGTCAATATTGGCGTTCGTTCGATTTTTCGGCCTAATCGCTTCTCGTTCATGGCCCATGCCATGGCCGGAGGAAGAACTCCATACAACACTGTCATGCAGTAGCCTCCCTGCAGTTTCATGCAGTCCAAATTTGCATTTTGCAAAAAAATTAATGACAAAAGGGAATGTGCTCGATCAACCAGAGCAACAAGATGTGCCAAAACGGCCTGGAAAATTTTTACTTTTACAAATATGAGAGTAATGTAAAGCTTACAGCAATTTCTGTGGCGGTGGAGAATGCATCTGGTATAGTTGTCGACACGAGAAGTGAAGGTACAACTGCCATTGCCATTGCTGTCACACTAGATTTATTTTTCTCCCACCAATTGCTGATGTCAGCAGAAGTGGAGTTCGATTTCTGGTAAAAAGAAATATTTCAAAATCACCAAAAATCGGATAATAAAAGAAACCGCGCGCCTTCAGTTATTGGTATGCAGTAGGCTTTTACCTCACGTAGCCGTGCTGTTTGAAAATCCGAGGAAAGAATATTGAGTTGCTCTTTGAAAAACTCCGAGAAGCCCAAAAGTGTGCCGAGTAATGAAGTCCCGACTGCAAGAAGCGAAAATGCCTCGACCATAAATGGGACCCCTCCCCATCTCACACTGTTTAAGTAGAACATTTTGTAAAATTGTCATAAAGATCTGTAAAAATTTAAAACTTCAGCTTTTGTCCTGAATTCGCCAGGAATCGCATTTCCCTCTCATGCACTCGAACAATAAGTTAAATGAGAGCCATGGGACTTGTTTACGATGTGCATTTCACAACCAGAGAACGTATCTTTTACAGAACCGTACACCAAAATACATAAAAGCTAGGTATTTTTATGTTTTTGTCCTCATTTCATCTTATGTAGAACCAGAAATATTTTGTTAGCAGTAAAAGAGAAAGTAAACTGACTTTAAAAGCAACTCAATTGGATCAGAAGTTTGATCAGTTTGGGTGGAAAGGCCAAGAGCTATGGCCTCCCAAATAAGAACTGCTACTAATGGCACCACACTCCCGATGAAAACCGAAGCCCTTATACGTGAAATGTCATTATCCAAATACGCACATAAAACTGCAAAAAGAGGGCATCAAATGTACATACACAACAATTTCAGACACTTCAGTTTCCATGCATATGATAAAATGCTGAAGGGAAGATGAATGTTTTTATTGTTCAAATATTTTTATAGAAAAAATTGACCTGGAGCTAAGTCGTGATAAACCAATGCGAATATCATTACTGGAAAAGTTTCCGGAACTTTTCCCCAGTCGCAGTGGCTTCCCTCGAACCCAGACCAACCTCCGAACACCACGGCTAGAGCCTCTATTGCTATAAGCAGACCTGTTTTTGATCATTTATTCTGAGTCAGTAACTCCAGATAACTCGGAAAACTACCTTTTTGCAAATTTAAAAAAGAGTAGCTTTTCCTTTTTGGTGTTTTAATTAAGTGGAATTTCTTTTTCTGATTCTGCATGAGCATTAGGTTTCTGATGTTGGTTTTCAAGGAGCTTATGAAAAACTTATGTAAATTTGAAGTAATTCACGGTAATTTTTCTTTTGTTTGAAATGTCGAAATATAAAAGCTCGAAAAATGACCACATGAAGAGTCTGATGGAAAATTTGGAAATTGTTAATTGATGGTTAAATCAAATGAGAAGAAGCAGCACTAAGAGTCAAATTTCCCCTTGGCTTCACAATTATAACTAGATGAAGCCATATCAGAAGTAGAAGCTAAGCTGCCATTTTCAAATACTAAAATGTCATTTACCAAAGAATCACCTTTTCCCCCCCTTTTTTACTTGTTTCATTTTCTTGTTGTGCCTAAAAATACTACCAATTTTCGAAGCACTCTTTCGAAATTATTACCTTAAAAACGCTACCAATTTTACACTCTTGATTACTTTTAAACTCTACTTCGATGCATCCATTTCACTTTAAAGGTCAATATCCCACAAACACTAGAGTCACTAGTATCAAAGAGCCATACCAACAACAAAGTGTACCTATCATGATCACAGTTAGCCACTGGTTCACTCGATCAGTTGCTCGCGTTCCACCCACAGAAATCAGAGCTGTAAATAACAACGCAAATAAAGCTCCACAAATCGGCTCCGGAAAGAAGCCAATCAAACGATGTATGATCTCGCCCGATTTGGAACAGTAGGCTATCACACAAGTGTAACCTAAGAATACATATGTCATGGTTGCTAAGGCCCCACCAAATTCTCCAAGTGTCTCCTGGGCCATGGTTCTAATAGACAATACTTCTAACGTGTTGTCTTTTTCTTCTTTAAACTTCTTCTTCATTTGTAAGCCGACGTTGATTTCGACTAGCAACAGAGCCTCGATTAACAGAAACGCCCAACACATTGTCAATGATACTGAACTTGGAAATAGTCCCTAACAAAACCTTTGCTTATCAGGTGAAAACTGAAAAGAGACGGACAAAAAGATAGAATCTTTTCAATTTATACTTATTGGGTAGAAAAATGTTACTACCGCTGGAGAAGTTCTGCTTGGAAGAGCAAGAATCCCAGAGCCAATGCTTGTCCCAATAACAAGAGCAACTGCACCACCAAAACTTCCCTTTTTCCTGCAATTTTTCACACTCTTATTACCATTTTTATCACCTTTCATTCCCACAATGAGAAACTTATTTTTCTTTGCTTCTAAAATATTCCAACTGAGTGATCGCTTCGAACTCGACTGAGAATAATAGCCGAGGCCACGGCGAAACTGAAGGCTGTTGAAAAGAGCAGAAATCAAGATTCAGACAAGTAGAATTTCATGTTCTCTAAAACCAATCAAATCAATGTGATTGCATATAAAGAAAATGGCTGATTATACATTTTGGTGTCGAAGCATTTTGTATGCAGATAAAGCCATGAGGGGTTTGGAGCTTTTGAATGATGGTGAGCAAAAAAACTCAGGCAATGGGTGTTCATCAGAGTGTACGGAGAGTGAAGTGGAAGTCCAGCCCAAGAATCTGGGAAGAAATATTGATGATTGATTCATGTGTGGGCTACATTTAAACCAGGAAATAATTTTTCTTTTCTTTTTTTTTT